GGAGACGGTTTATCTGTCTAGGATATATTATAGATTATTAAACATTTTCAAATCTTAGATATAAAAGGAAATTTTTTTATGAATTTCTAGCATAAAATAATTTACGAATTTTGTGATTTTTACGTATTTTCTCAAAATTCGAAATTTGAATGAGCGTAAAATTTCCCGTTTTTCCCAGTTTCCCTTAATAATTATTTTTAGTTCGTTTATTTGTAGCAAATAAATATAATTAAATTTGACATGTGTTTATAAAAATTGTTATCCAACAAAAAATGATCTGTTTCACAGAATTCTGCTAAAATTAAAGTCAACAACGTCAATATTAACTATTTTAAATTCGGAAATGGGCCACTAAAACTGTTGATATTTCCCGGAGCACTAGGTACGTCTACTAATTAATCGCATAAAGACTGCGGATCTATAGCTTTTTTAGGAACTCGGCTTGACAGTCGACTGGTTGAGCTGCAGTAATGTTATTATAATGCATATATGCTTCTCCATATAGGTTATGTTGGTAGTTTTACACCGCTAATAAACAATTTCGACAAAGGAAAATACACGATATATTTATGGGATCCTCCCGGTTAYGGTTTCAGTCGTCCGCCGAACAGAGATTTTTCGCCAGGATTTTTGAACCGTGATGCCGACTGTGCAATCGCACTCATGGAGGTAAAAATACTCTATACAGAATACTTACCTAGGTAGTGTCAGCTTTGCCAGATGCCGACTCTCGGGGCCCTTAGCGTTTACTTTCTTAGTTTAAAAGCAGACCATCTGCACGATGGGGTCAAAGATGCTTCACACACGTGATGGTTACAAATTTTTTTGTTTAGGTAATTGTCTTTTAGTTTTTATTTACTACAACATACCTACGCATTTATTGAATTCTGACATATCTACCCATTAGTTGGCTTTTGGCTTAGCAAAATATGAATCGGTTGATTGTCGGCTGTCGGCGGGTGGAGRAGGAAGGAAATTTACAATAACCCTCAAGGCGTAGATAATAAAAGAAAAAATAGAGGCAACAGAGCGAAACATGGCCCCTCACTTGTCATGCCGACACTGCCTAGGTAGATACGCCAACAACGTATAGGTACGGTGTGGTAAGAAAGGTCATCAACTTTTTCCTCGCCATTTCGGGCGATGCAGGCGTTGGGCGTCGACAGGTACTCAATGYTGGGCTGGTGCAACGGAGGATGCACCGCGCTGATCGCAGCTTCCAGAGCCGCCGACCGGGTGGACAARTTGGTGGTGTGGAGCTGCAAYGCGTACGTCACCGACAAAGATCTCGATATCTACGAGACGACACGCGACGTCCACAGCTGGCCGGATGCGAGGAGAGTATCGCAATTCGAATTGTACGGCGAGAAGTACGTGTCGGACACATGGGGCAGGTGGATAGACTCGTTCCGGATAATTCTCGAAGAGCACGACGGTGACGTGTGCCGCGGTGCACTGYCCGAGATAAATGCGCCCACGCTCGTGCTGCACGGAGCAAATGATGAGTTCATACCGATCGAGCACGGCGTATACCTCCACGAAAACATCAAGCGCTCGACGTGAGT